CTATCATACCTGAGAAATCTCTCTCAAATTTTCTTCCCACGTTTCTGGGTTTTCCAAGTTTTTTATTGCTTTCACCACAGTTTCAACCTGTTCCTTGACAATTTTGGACAACTCAATTGCCTGACATAAAATAAAAATTGATATACAGTCAAAGTTTTAAAAAATATTACAAATTTTTCAAATAAATAAAAATCACAATTAATTTGTTTTCATTTTTTACTCCAAGTTCTCGTCTCAGCATTTGTAATCATCATTTGGATCACGTCCAAATGAAGAAGAATTTTACTACTTTTTTATTTCAAATATAACAGAAAACTACAACAGGGTTACTAAAAAGTTCACAGATGGTCTTACACTCACCTGCTCTGCTTGTGGTCCAGTAACAGCAGATATTCTTTTCACCCCCTGTAAGTGACCTGACATGTTTACTATCACCACTGGGCCTATGTGAGATGTGTTGTGGACATGGCTGAAAAAATAGAGAATATATATGAAACCCCCCGTATGTGGTCTTGCTGACATGTTTACTTTCACCACTGGGCCTATGTGAAATGTGTTGTGGACATGGCTGAAAAAAAAAAGAGAATAAATATGAAACCCCCCTGTATGTGGTCTTGCTGACATGTTTACTTTCACCACTGGGCCTATGTGACATGTATTGTGGACATGGCTGAAAAGGGAAAAATAAATATTACCCCCCCCCCCTTTCATATCTGCCAGTACTACTACTTGATAAAGCATGACTGCAAACCACGAATTATGAAATCTGAGTAAAGAAATTAAAAGCTATACAGATAAGTTGGAATTTTTATCTGATTTAATCTGCACAACTCTTTTAATATACAAACCCTTCACAGTCTTTTATATTGTACATACTTGTACTGATTTATCATTATCAAAGAGGAAGTATAATTGCTCACCATGATGATTAGTATATCTAAAAGGCAAAATCCCAAATCCACAACTACTACAAATAGTATTAAAAACAATTTCTTTTCTTATAATGATTAAAGGTTAATAGTCTGAGATCTTACAATACTTACGTGCCTCCACATAGTTCAACAGATGTTTCTACTGGTCCAGTAGAAGCTTCTGACGTAGGTAGCTCCATCACTTTTGTGCCTACTGAGACCACATAAACACTGTTAGGGTACACCTGTGAAGTAGAGAAATCAATGAGGTCTATAGGTTTTGATTTATATGATAAGATCATTCTTCAAAGGGAAAAAAGTTTCCTACCCACATTTTCATGTGTTCATTGTTGTTTGGACTTGCAACTGTTATCTAAAAATAAAGGGTTAAATGGTTAAAAGAAAAAAACTGGCAAAAACAAGATAATGTTAAATTATAGTACTACAAAAATGCTGACATGATCATTTGTTTGTTTTTGTTTACCGATTGTAGCAAAAATTTTACATGAAAACTGCAAATACAGTAAACTGACAGAAAAAATCCAAAATTCCTTTTTACACTTTTCTAAACCTTTTTAGAAGACTAAAGACAAGTTTTTAAGTTGAAACTGCAGATATGACAGTTTAACAACTGAAAACATTCCATCAACTTCATACCTCATTCTCCAGTGAGACCAGGCCATTGATTTCCTTAGCTCTCACCAGAGGGACCTCTTCTCTGTACACTTTCCAAGATGAGCTGGTAAATTTATTGACAATTTTTTCCACCTGAAGAATCTGTTCAGAAGATACTTTGCCCTGAAATGAAGACATTCATCAGTAAATTAAACAAAATGTTACAATAGACAGATCTCACTTGTTAAGTTTTTTCAAAGCTGGAATGTTATTTTTTAAAATCAATAAAAATACACAAATAGCATGTTTTTTTTACTCTTAGTGCAGTCCTGTTTAGCCTAAGTTGACTTCCATTTCTGACTAGATGTAACCTAAATAAACCTCCACCTTCTAGGCATCATTAGAACTTGGTTCCCATTCACAAAAATCCCCATATTTTGGAGCTAAGTTTTGACTGCCTGAATTGGATAGCTTACTATGTGCAAAACTGGCTTTGTAACATTGGTCTGTGAGCTTCTAAGAATGTTTGGCCCATAATAAATGTATATGATAAGCTAAAATTGGCTATTGTCACCACTACAGTTAAGTACACCATTCAATGTAAAAAAGGGCCTATTTTTACACAAAAAAATTTACTTGAAACTTTATGCGAACCAGATCCATCATACATATAGCATTCATTCTTTTGCCAGAAACAATCACAAACATTTGTAAAACTTTCCGTACCAGGCAGGTGAAGTCAAAAGTCAGTTTGTCAGGTGTGACAGAGGACCCCTTCTGCTTCACGTCACCAAGCACCTTGTTCAGTGCATAGTTCAGCAGGTGTGTGGCTGTGTGGTTCCGCATGCAACCCTGGCGATAGTCCTAAATCGAAATGAACAAGGAAACATGAATACTATTTTTAAATGTCCAATTAGTTTGTTTCAGAAGAGTTTCTTTTTAAATTAAAAAATAAAGTAACAAAAATTTCCTCATCAAGGTGCAGTAGCACTTGTATATAACATACTCAATAGGACAGTTTATTTTTGTCGGTTTAATACAAACCCCATCACAACCATACATCATTCTTTTTTCCATTGCTACTTCCAGATTAAGAACATAATAGGTGAGTGCCCAGTATATGCAAGGTCTTTACTCATATATGCAAGGTCTATTGAAGAATAATTTGTAACAAGGTCCGTGAAGAAGGAAGTAACAGCATCATGCCTTTATAACCCAAGTATTTTTTTTTAAATTGTGCATCCAAGTTATATAATCACTTGACTTCCCTATATACTAAATACACTATTTACTTCAGCTATCTTTGCCTCTGCCTGAGAACCAACAGTCACTCTGCCTTTGGCCACAACTCCCATGTGTACGACATAGTCCTTAACAGATTGGACATCTTCTACAGAGAATACAGAATCCTGTCAAAAAACATAGTGAAATCAATGTAGAAAACAATTAGAAAATTCAATTCAAAATCAATTCTTAGAAGCATATTTATAATAAAAAAAACAAATAATCTTTTTCTATGAGAATGACTGCAGTTGTCATTTAAGCTTAACCTATTAGTAACCTTTTAAAAATAAAAGACTGCTTTTTACTGAAAGAATCATACTTATCTCTCTTGGCTTACACATATCTCAGAGTCCCAGTAAAAAAAAAAAGCTGATTTACCTCAGTCTGCACAATCTTGTCTTACCTCAGTCACTATAGTCCCTCTGTCTGCAGCTTGACCTCCACCTTCAGCATAAAAACAGGTCTTATCCAATAAGATTCCACACTGTTGACCCATTTCTATGGAAGATACAAGCTCTCCATCTACCAAAATACCAGCTATCTGACACTGCAGTGGTGCAAATACTAGAAACAAATTTAAAACAAGTCATTAATCAAAAATCATTCAAAGCATTTTGACTATAATGAAAAAAATCTGAAAATATCAAAACGTGCCAACTACGTCGGTCACATGACTCAATCTGTGTCCTAGTTTAAGGCACCAAGCCTAAGCGGCAGTGGTATAGACAACTGAACTATGTTCAGCATCAAAAGGAGCGATCAATGACAGAAAAATCAACTGAACTGCACTCAGTCTCATTGAGAAATATCCTGAACAAGTAAACAAATGCCAAGTTCCAGAAGAAAGTCAAAAACTGCAAAACAGCGATCAACGAAACAGTGCATGCTTGCCTCCGAGAAGGGAGCAACGCAATGACATCTGGGATCGCGCAATGCTCTCTTGTATAATCTCGGTTAACCATGGTGCCGTAGTAGAATCAGGTCTACAGCTTTCAATATAATCTACCATTCACAATTGGGCATATAGGGTTATTTCAGTTGATGACTTAAACTCACTGACAGACATTTTTACTCACCATACTCTTCCCCTGACACATAGTCATATTTATATGAATCCTCAGTAGGTCTGATGTTGGCACTTATCAGTTTCTGTAGCAATATTGAATTTAAAGTTATCACAGGGTCTCTCTCCATTGGCTGCAAAGTAGATCTCTCCTGAAAATATGATCAAAAGAACTGTTGTTGAGAACAGACCCTTGTGCCTAATTCACTAATGTTATTATATGATGTTAATGGACTTTATTTGTCTTCAGATTGAGTATCATGGTCTTTTTGCTGATGATGTCATATCAGCAGAGGATGGGGGGGGGGGGGGTAGAAGTTATTTTCAATTCCTTGATTTCTCCTTTACCTGGGCTCATATCAGAAAAAATTCCAATGGCTAAGAGGGCCATGCATGACTACCAGTAAGGGGTGTGTCCAATACAATCACACCGTTTAGACTTTATCCCTTATAGTACCAATTTTCACTGGACCTTTGAGATACAGTAAAGTGTACAGCATGAAGTGAGAAGGGTCTTAAACCCTTTTCAGATAGACACAGTGTACTAGTTGGGTTGGTGCAACTCTACAGGGGACTTTCCCTAAGTGCAATCACCTTAACTGAATGACAGGCCTCCTCAAGCAGCTAGTGGGTAATTATCTTATTTGTGCGCTTGGCTCAATTACCCCTAGCTGCTAGAGAAGGAGTGTCATTCAGTTAATTGAACTTAGGGAGAGCTAATTGCCCTTACGGCGAGCCCCCCCCCCCTCCCCCCAACACACACACACTCAGAGTTGGAATGACCCAACCAGAACTGTGTCTATCTGAATGCTCCCTCTGTGTATTGTCAATTTACTTTGATATCTTGCAATTTCCTCTCAAACCCTGTCCAGTCCATGCTGATACCCCTCTCCTCCCCCATGTCCATCAGGAGGTCAACAGACAGAGGATGACCATATCTGCCCTCGTGGAGTTTCAACATCTGCTCAGCTGTTGAGATTAGAGTAATCCATGACATCAGAAAAAAATTATCACAATATGTAAATAAGTTACACAATATGTTAAACCACTATAAGAATCTTCCACGAAAAATCAAGACTCAGCATGTTGATTATTTAATTAATTAGTCCAATGCTGATAAAACCATCATTTATGTTCATCAGTCCCCACCATCTAACTTCACTTCGTTTATTTATATCTTCAAATTTACCAGAAATCTTCAATTAACATAGTTGAAAAAAACTTCATCATTCTATCAAAAGTGCATTTACATATAACTAATATGTTACGTAATTGTTGCACTAGCAGTCACGAAAAAGACCCTTGTTCATAAAAACAGACACATCCTCTCAAAATAATTATTATAATTATTATTATATAATTATTCTTACCAGTCACGTGGGACACATTCCCAACCTGTCTGAGGAACTTATTCACAGCTTTCCTCCCTACTCTGGTCTGCTGTAAGTACCTCTGCTCTGTTGCGTTCACAACATTCTTCACCTGCTCACAGTTCTGACCCAGTTCTGGAAACGTGTCGCCCTGGAAAGATAAATGATGTGACTTAAAAAATTAAGACTTTAAAAAATTCAAAGGCAGCAGTTCCCCACTGCTGTGCTCAGTTCTGTTCATTCTCACATTAGCATGTACATATACATGTAAAAAAAGCGAAATCATGACGGTGGGAAAAAATTGAAAGGACGTAATATGATGATGCATGCATATTTGATAAATTTCCAAACACATCACTTCTTCTAATATTTTACTTAATTTTCAAGATTTATATGCTTTCCAAGCCAACTAACTTTTCAAAACTTTAACATCAATATTTCAAAGCCTTACAAAGAAAATATTTTTTTTTTTTTGGAAAGGAAATAATTTTGGTTGAATTTAATGAGTAATAATCATATCAGTTGCATACATACAAGTTGCCAGTTATCAATGAATCATGAAACAGTTCTAAAACAGACAGTAAATATTAGATTATTGATTATAGATATCAACATACCAGACTTTCCACCACCACTTCTACTAAATTACCCAGCATTCCTTCTGGGGCTTTGAGAACTTCTGATGCCTGGCGCATGCAGCGGTGCATAATGGTCCGCAGGCGAAATCTGTTGAAAATCATTATCAAAGCAAAGTTCTTCACAAGCATACAAACAACAGCATAAATCAGTCCCTTCAAACACTACAACAAATGTCTGAGGACTGAAAATATTTATACTTCTAAAGATATAATATATAATAATATATCTAGCAATTCCATATGATTAAGCATTTAAATAAATATTTTTATCAGAATCTTACAGAACTTGATGTTTCCAGTCTAAATGGTTTTAAACTAAGAACTACTTCTTAATAAATCAATCAAATTCAATGTTAAGCGTTTTTTCCGGGATCTTTCATTTATATTTTATATAGCTGTAGTCATCCATAAAATTTCACTTCCTAAACAGAATCTCCATTAATTCCCCCCCCCCCATCTTACTCCATATTTCCTCTGCCAGGCACCAGACCATCACTGAGGGCCACCGTGAACATCCGTGTGTGGTCCCCTATTATTCTGTAAGCCGTGTCCACCCCAGCCTCGTCACTAGCACCAGTCCTGCCCTGGTACACTGGGCTATTACAGCTCTGAACACCAAGTAAAAAATAGTACCAAACATAAAAAAAAATACTAAAATAAGTAGTTTGCTACTTAAAGAAGCAAATAGTCCAGCTGGAGTATCCTCCTGTGAAAATTCTGAAATACCCCTAATTCTAAGAGGGAGCACTTCATTTAAAAAATTTTTTTTAGTCCAATGAATGCCAAATAATTATAAATTACCAAAAGTCTTATAAGAAATATTCCCAAACATTCCAAAAATTATCATTTAAATTGCTTATTTATATCAATTAACTAAAAATTGCCTTATATCTCTTTTATGAAGTTTACCTTCTGAATTGCTGAGAACAGTGGTTGAAAGAGATCAGTATCGTAATTGGACATCTTGCCCTGCATCACTGCTGTCATTCTCTCCAACCCCAAGCCTGTGTCTACGTGCTGTCTTGGCAAGGGAACTAGACTGCCATCTGGCTGTCTGCAGAATTATTATCTTTTTAGTCTCAATTAGTGTTGACAGTACAAAATTAGTGTGTTGTAAATAGTTAATAAATGAGTATAAAGAGATTTGTAAAATTTGTCAGAAATTGCAATCTATGCATTCCTAATAAATTATGTTACATAAAATTATATGTATCTGAAAGCAAATTTTTTCTCATTTAAAAAATTGGGTCATAACCGTATGATGTCAGATGAGAACCTGCTGAACTCTTGCAAAAATTTGTTAAAATATCATGCTCCAAAAAAACATAAAAATCAATGCTGTCAGTCTAAAATATACATTTTCTGACCACTCCCCCTCCTCACCTGTCATACTGCATAAACACCAAGTTCCAGATCTCCACTACCTCTGGACTGTCCATATTGACCAGATGACCAGCATTCTGGCCACCCACGTGGTCATAGTGGATCTCTGTACAGGGTCCACAGGGGCCAGTCTCCCCCATGTCCCAAAAGTTGTCCTTCATTCCACTTGGAAAGAGATGATCTTCAGGGATGCTGGAATATTTAATGTACTTAAACTATAATATTTTTTGTGATGCTACAATTGGACAATTAATTAATGAGGGTTTTTGCAGTTACTGTAGAAAGACAAGATGACTACGATCTGCTGATGAGATTTTTTGTAGAAAAATGAAATTTGCCAAACCTTTCTCTCTCCCCAAGACAAACTGTGTGACAAAATCATATTTTTTTTACCCACCCTAATTTTAACCATATTTCTCGAGTTTCCAGATCTGGGTCAAGGCCAAGTTGTTCATTTCCTCCAAAGTAGGTCACATAAAGCCTTTCCTGACTGATGTTGTAAACCTCTGTAAGCAGCTGCCATGCCATTTTGCAAGCTTCTTCCTTAAAATAAACAGCAAAATGCCCTATATACCTTCTTAATTTTTTTGGGTGATTTTGGAAAGCTGAATTCATTACTTTCCTACAGAGAATTTATTAGCAGCATATTTACTTATTTCCATCTACCTATTGTCACTTTACAGCAACTGTAATTTCAGTATAATATGCACGCACCTATAATTCAAGGTATGAAAACAAAATATACATATATCAAATATGACAAATTTAACATTTTAGAAGAAAACTCCATGTGTAAGTCAAAGATGGAACAAGCATGAGCCTTTCCCAGAAACTGGCACTGGCACACAACTGTAAAAAATGGAAAAGATTGAGTGTACACGTAGAGTGTTATTGCAGCACCTCTCTCACTCATCAGAAAAAAGAGGCAGAATGAGTTCATTCTGTGAGATAGCAGTTACCTTGAAATAATCTGCAAATGACCAATTCCCCAGCATTTCGAAGAAGGTGTGATGATAAAGATCTTTCCCTACATCATCAAGGTCGTTATGTTTGCCACCAACGCGCACGCACTTCTGGCTGTTTACCACACGGCGATAGTTTGCCATCTCACTGTTGGCAGGGACTGTACCAAGGAAGACAGGTTTGAACTGGAAAAGTAAATGATATGATATAGTTTAATTCAATTTCTGTTACAGTGTGTGTGTGTGTGTGTGTGTGTGTGTGACTGTAATAAGCACTTGTGTATGTGCCTGCACATGTCACTTAACTTTCCTTGAAAAGATTTCCTGTCATTATAAGCGATCTGCACTCTTTCATAGAGCGTACACTGTGCAGTCTGTCTTTTTTGCTCCAATATGGAAATATCATCTCTTCGACATAATGTCATCTCTCACCCACCCTGAATATCTAGGATAAATGCAAACTGTACAGGCATGCTGATAGGGAAATCAGTTTCCAGTAAACCCTGAAACACAGGGTGCACCAACCTGATTCATCCCTGCATTCACAAAGTATGTCCCTTCTCCCTTTTTGGGCACGATGCTGGACGACGGAACAAACTGATGGCCGTGTACTTTTGTGAAGAAGTCCAGGAATTCCTGTCTTACTCTCCTTGCTGGCCACTGCAGTCTCTGGGCACTGTCTTGAGAACTGACCACTGCTGTGGTATGGATGTGATGACCACAGTTAAAGCAACTCTGAAAAAAAAATTGTTTGAAAATATTTTTAAAAATATTGATATAAAATATTAGATTAGATAGGAATTCTCAAAAAAAAAAAGAAAATGGATGTTTCATACTAGCTTGCAGTGAAAGGAGTTCACTGAAAAGCAGTTTTCTTTGAAAATTTCAAAGTAACTTCGATAAAGACTGATCCCAGGAAATTGTTTCAGTAAATAATGCACCATAATTTATCCTACAGTGGAATACTAGGCCTACTTTCCAAGGCAATCTTTCAAATTTACCTAAATGTCTGAGATAAATGAGGATTGCCATAAGAACTGATACTGTGAATCATTTATGTTTTGCCTTTATTCCTTTAATCACAGAAAGGGGTTCTTTATTTACCCGTGCCAGTGCTGGGGCATGTTTGCTCAACAAATGCCAGGCGTGCCTTCGCCTGCACCAACTAACGCCTGGTTCTGTATGGAGGGTGATGAAGGAGCCCGCACGTCCCACTGCAGCCATCGTACCCTGGTATATATATATGTGTATATGTAATGTTACATCAGGCAAAACAGAATAATTGTTCGGTTTTTATAATTTTCAATAAATTAAATTTTTTTTACCTTTAGAAAATGATATAACAATATAACGCTACATTTTTTGTGCAAAAGCTATATTTTAGCAGCAGTAATGCTAGAGAGGGGTGAGAAAGGGCCATTATTTTGTCAGAGAGACTAACCATTTTTAGGACAGAAAACCATTTGTGGAAACGTTACTAATGAATTAAGGCTTTAGCCACTGGACATATCATTCCGTAGTCTTGAACAAGCACTTCAATGAACAGTTGTCAAAAACAAAGGACCCAGGAGTGGCAGATAGACTTATGTTCATGCGTGCCGCAAAGGCCAAGCCTTAATTGCCCCTGAAGGTTACAAACTAAATCCGGTGTGGCGTGATAGACCCGTGCTGTGACGAAACCGTTCTGCACATGCGCATTGAGGGTAGATTGAAAGAAGTAACTTCCGGTATGACGATGTCGTCCTAAGTAGGCGCTATGTTTGCACTGAACTATGATTTTCCAATTCATAATTCAGTGGTTTTCGTCATGAGAGAGTATGTATTTGATAATCTTATTACTACAGTATCAGGGGTCAAAACAGAATTTGGGCAGGACTGGCCAATACGGACCAGTGGACCGTAGAGGTACTGGTCCGTACCAAGAAGTACTGGTCCGTAAAATTTCACGTTAAAAATTAGTAGTTTCAAGCTACTAGATATAACGTAAACGCATACATGTTTAACATCCATTTTTATTTCTATATGATTATCTTAACACATTCATATTCCAGTCAGTTCCTTTAACTGTTTGTACACATCCTCCTCTGCTAGCTCATCATCATCATAATATATAAAAAATAAAATGAATATATAAAAAATTATTATGAAATAAATATAACTTCTACATATATCCATATTTTAATCTTAAAAATTTAATTTTATTTTAATTGCTGGGGTTGAACGTGAAACGAAAAAAAACTCCTCTCAAACTTTACTAGCCCGAACCAAAAAACACTAGCCCAATTTTAATAATTCATTTAAAAAAGTTTAAGCAGATGCTGTAAAGAGTTGTGGTACCATACTGTACTTTCTTATAAACCTTATTATAGAAGTAGAGCAAGTGAATAACAAAGTCAATCAGGTTAATTTCCAGTTGATGGGGTGGTAAAATTAATTAAAAATATATTTAATTCTTTTAATATTGAAAAAAATATTTTTTTAAATTTGTAATACTGAATATAGTTGCCCTTACTTTTCATATTTTTATTATATCTTTTTTTCCATTTTTTATATGCAATCAAAAAATTTTTTTAAATTCCTATTCTTTTTATTGACAATGGCTCTTTTCTGACAATTTATTTCCAATTACATTGGTATATAATGCCACTTCTAATTTAAAATACATAGGTGTTGTAAGGGTAATTAAACAAACGTCTTACAATTTTTTTGGTAACAATTCTTTTGGTTATATATTTGTAAAAACAACTTTTCAAGGACTTTACCAGGACAAAGTGTGGAGGGGTAGCCATGGCATAAACTGAACTATCCCACATTGTCAAGAATAGTTCATAGGGTATTTATGTAACTGCCATGTATTTACTCATGGACATTAAAATTATAAATAAAAAATATAAACAAAAAAGGAAATAGAATACTCCACCCCTCAGTCTGCTAAGTGGTCCTAACCTAAATGTTCTATGAGATAACGCATACATTACACTTGCTTCGGAGACAGTGTTGTTTTGACAAAACCTGTTGCTAGTACCAAAGAATTCCGGTCTGATCCAGTTTCTTGATTGGCAGCAATTTGTAGTCATGACAACAAACTGGTCAAATAAAAAGATGCCGACACGCTGATCAGACAGACTGCTACTATTAATAACTACAGTGAAGTTATTTATAGCAACTAATCAATATTCAGTAGTTTGAGCTAGGTGTGAGTTTTTTCAACTGAGAGGCATATTATACTATCTAGAAACGTCAAATTAGAGGCAGGGACAAAGAAGACTGGCGACTCATATTTTTGAAATCTTACTGAGTGTTAAAATAGGTTCAAAATTACAGCTGGTGCTTTATAAAATTTCAACTTTTTTACTAGACCGGTGCCACTTTAGGTGGGCAATTGCCTCGGGCTAGTGCTTCACGTCGCAGACTGTGGGTTTGGCAACGATGTTCGGCACTTTTCAGCGGTCGCCAAAACGGACCAGTACCCCTGACAGGTAGTCGCCCGGGACGTTTCTAAGTCGCATTGGCGAGTGGGCGACCATCTGTTTCGACCCCTGCAGTATACGGGGGAATGTTGGAAGTGAGCTTTTGATCGTGACTGAACTGTTTTGCTCTTTGTAAAAAACGTGGCAGATCTAAGACTCGTAGTATAAATCTTTTCACTCTACAATGTTCTTTCAATTCAGAGTTCAGTCATTTTCATTAAAAAGAAATAGTGTGTTTGATAATACTACAACTTTCTCTACGGGGAAATGTTGGAAATGCATGTGCAGCTACGTACTGTAAGTCAACAGACTGCTACCCCCCGCGTGAATAATCCGCCAGAACGGTTTATTCACGACGACGGTTTCTTCACGTGACACCGGTACTGACGGTTAGGCTCGTCCGACTCTTGAGCCATTCACACGCTCAATTCATACCGTCCACTTTGAAACAAGCGAGACACTTGTGATCAAGCATGATACTATAAAGCTGAGATGGCTCGTATCGTTCACAATGGCGAGACACCATTGATGAAAACTCACTAAACAAAGGCGAGACACCTTTGCTTACCAACCCCTACGTCCCTAAATTTTCTTTTTTTTTTTATTATCGGACTCTGCAGCTGATGAAAGTCACTTGTTGACCGAAAAGCGCTTTCTGCAACCAGTCCACCCTCCCCCTTCCCTCGACAGGCGAGATGCCTCTATTGTGCCAATCACGAAATGCCCTTTTCAGGGCCCCCTGTGTAGATCGGTATCTATAAATCTCATACGAAGTAGGCGAGACACCTACTCTCTTATCAAAGACGTTCTTTCCCTATAATAAAGGCGAGAAGCCTAACACACTCTAAGAGTCGCTCTCTACTCAGCACGGAATGTCCTTTTCAGGGCACCCTGCATATATAAGTGACTATGTATCTCATACCAGGCAGGCGAGACACCTACCTTCCTATCTAAGACAAGTGGTTCTCATAATAAAGGCGAAAAGCCTAACACACTCAAAGAGCCGCTGTCATTTCTGCAAGGGGCGCTGTTAAAATACACGTCCTCAGAGGCCCAGCTCTGAATCGTGATTTTAGGCAATCGCTCCCTGATTTAAGGCAATCGTTCGATGTAAATTTACCTGTCTGACTAGTGGGGATGCCTCAATAATATCTCCCAGATCTATCAATGGTATTCATACATGGTTCAGAAGTTATTGAAATTAAGAATATAGATTCTCTTTCAGTTTAAAATCAGGGGAAATCTTTGCTGTAATAGAAAATGTCGTTCAGCATGGGCGCTGCCATAAGCAACACTCGCAGTGAAAATTTGCTTGGATTTCATTGGCTAGTTTATTATATCAAGTTGTGAACTAATGTACATGTATTTATTATCTTATAAGATACTGCACATTTGAAAAATATCCTTCTGTGATGGTACCGCTAGGAAAACATTTTATGTCATAAAAGATATTAATTTAGTTATTTTCTTTCTTTCTTTCTTTCTTTCTATTATTTTCTTTTTTTGATAACAATTTTTGTGTTTCTTCTAATCCATTTATTATTATTATTATTATTATTATTATTATTGATGTTGTTGTTCTTGTTGGTGTTATTTTGTTGATGTTGTTGTTGTTGTTGTTGTTGTTGTTTTGAAATGCATGAGATATAGATCAAAATGTTAATATGTTATTCTGAAAGGCATGTGATGCAAGTAAGCAAAACATGAAGGTTTCACTGACAGCATAAAACATAAGATATTATTTAATAGGACCATATTTTTACTGGAAGTTTTTCTTTTTGAGAAGCACTGACACACAGTGCATGTAGAGTGTGAAAAAAAAGAGACAGGACTTATTTAATGAATCCCATATTTATCACCAGACCAGATCGGTAATACTCATCAATCTACAGGCGACTGTTCAAATTTTGGTTGGTTAACTATTATAAAATCATTTGACTGATGAAGGAATGCAATGGACATGGAAACGTCTGTATGACTAAAAGCATAGATTAATGTTTGTGAAAAAAATATGAGATCATATACCAGCGTTAGCTCTGTCACTATAAGAGTAATCAATGCTGTGGTCCGAATGTTATTAGACCCACCCCCCACCCCCACCCACACCAGTGCGCGCTATAGAAATGAAGAACCATGTGGGTTTGTCTATTTTTGATGCAACTATGATTCAATTTTATACGTGATACATACACTGAAAAAAAATCAATGCGAATCCCACCTTTAGAGCATCTATATTCGTATGATCCATTTATATAGGCTCTCTAGCTGTTAAATTAATTTGACAAAGGACATCGTCCACTTTTGAAACAGCTAAGAGACTGAGAAGACACCGTGGGTGGACCGTAGAGTCTCTCCAATACCCTCCCGACAACCTGAACAGCACGATCGTTGTAATTAAAGTAAGTGGGGTACACGTGGGAAAAAATCTAAAATTTGATATATATAAGAGAATATTTCCCCGAGTATGACAGGTGTGCACGACAGGCACGTGAATATGTTATTTACCAGCATAAATGAGAACCCTATTATATATAGCTTAAATTTTTGTTGGTATTGTCATTATCCCCGGTTAAGATAACGTCATAGTGAATTAAAGGCCATGTTGCTGACACTACTGGTTGTGAGTGGTACTGCGCAAAATGAAAAGTATTAATTGGTATCTTTAACTATGTACCAAAAACTACTGGTTTTACATTTTCCTATCGAGATAGCAACTAAAGAAAACATCTGGTTACTGGAGTATGTTCAGTTACACATATTACATAAGGAATATTATTACTTCTTATTGATGTGAAAAATAGCATTTACAGACTTAATCTACATGTATGCATTTTCCTTGTTTTATGATACTATCCATCCGAATTCTTTGTACCTATGAGTTCTGTTTCAAAGACATTTTAAGTGCGAATTAGCCTATTTGTATCAATTAAAATGTATTATTAAGCCATGAAATAACAGTAACATGAATTCATTATTTTTAGAATTTTATCTTAAATCATTTAGAATTTGATTGAGAGTTACCTACCCTGTTTCGTATAATGTCTTACAAGACAGCAAAGAAAGCATGTGGTTACTGAAATTTACACCTGCCCAGTCACACGTATAAATAGCAACTACGCTGCAAACAAATATATAGAAAAGTTTTTAGAATCTATATCTATACGTAAACAATTTTTTTTTTACATAAAATATTTCCTATTCTGAAGTCTAGAAGTCTAGAACTATTTTTTGAAGTCTAGAACTATTCGTTTAATCTCGCAATCTTCTTAGAAGATGTGTCAGAAGTAGGCAGTCGTGGCCGAGTGGTTAAGGCGACAGACTAGAAATCTGTTGGGGTCTCCCCGCACAGGTTCGAATCCTGTCGACTGCGATTACTTAATTATTGCTTTTCATCTCTTTTCAAATTGGTCACGGTATATGATGTTTAAAACTGCGTAATAGTACGATGGGTTAATGGGAACGCGCCCGTAAACCCCCCCTGGCACTGGACGGCGTCCTTTCCACGTCCTTTGTGCGGCCATGAAAGTGGCATCGTGTGGTGGTAGAAAGGAGGCGTGCCAGGCCAGACAATCACACCGAAAGCAATTTAGTGAGAAGCTCCGCAGAGTTCGATCGACCCAGATAGAACGTTGGCCTCTAAGGCAGTTTTGACAACAAATTAAGTTTTGTGGGCGAATAAGCCTATTTGTATCAATAAAATGAATGTAAGCGTCTTAAGTTATCTCATAATGTCAACACTGTTTTTCTATCTACCGTCACGGCGTCATATTTTTATCCGTTTACAGTGCAAGTATTTGGAAGAAATCTTAGACCCCATTTCCAGAGATTAGATCGATCTACTTCAGATCGACCTAACTCCCTGGGGGTTCATGCTAAATAGCTGTCAGCCGAGCCCCTAACAGCCTGTAGTAGGCGGGACGGACATTTAAGCCGGATTATCTGACAGTAATCTAGTGAGACTCCCCGCGGGGATAGATCGATCTAAAAGCTCTGGGAATACAGCCTTACTGACACCTATGACAGTGATATTGTATAGAATGAGGAAGTGTCGGGAAAAATAATATTTTCAGAATAAGATTGGCAGTTGCGGCAATGTGGTTACGGCGACAGAAAAGGTAACTATTGGGATCGCTCCGCACAGATTTGAATCCTGCCAACTGCGAATCTTTTTTCTTTTATCATCACTTTTAGAATAGTGACACCACACCGTATAATTTTTCAGAAATGTCTAAGGGCAAAAGGCTG